ACTATATATTCTATAATGCTACTGATACATTCTGTTCTTCAGGACACAAGTAAGTACTAACTGCACATGCACCTACTGCAAGATTTCTTAACATTTAATAATTTTTAAGATTTTTTTTTTACAAGATGCTGGTGTCTCTCTCTTTAGGAGGGATTACAATGAAAAAGCATCTTATTCACAAGTCACTGTGCTGTATACTTCTGCTACACCAGCCTTCCTTCATAGCTTTGCATCCCAAGTTTCTTTAAAGCATTCAACAGCATACATTTAATTAGCAAAACAATTCCATCTGTTCTGTGAGTCAATACTGACAACTTTACTGTTAAAATACACATATTTCTCTTGGTGCAGCTGTGCTTAATCTAACAGGGGAGAGAAAAGCCTGCTGTGCATTGCATTTAGTGCCCAGGTTCCATTCTAGGGCTGCATCCCAGCTGACCCCAGGGGCATACAAAGGTCTCCACAGACCCATTCCTGTGGCCCCTGGGTCCCCCAAGTCACCTACATACCGTAAACACAGGCCTCCAAAGGCAGTTCCACAGAACCACTGGTAAAAGACCCATTTTTGGCTGTTTGCTTACGTTTGGACAAGTTGACACAGACGAACATCCTCAGATGAAAACATAAGAGAGGCACCAGGGGCTGTGACAAGCAACAAGACACTGGAATTGAGAACTTCTGGGGCAGTAAGAGCCAGCTAAACCTCATCCACAGGCAGACAAAACCTCACAGCCTTGGTACTGTTGAATTCATCCACTATCCTCAACCTGAGGTGCAGGCTCTGTGGCCAGAAACCCAGGTACCTGGTTCTCCTACAGCAGATACCCTCAGGGGCTCATCTACTGCAAGGTCTCCCTGCTGGGGAGCAAACCAGCCCTGCCCATTCCAGTCTCTGTCACGTTGCAGTTAGATGACAGCTTCCTCACTGCTGCAGTGCTGTCATGCTCCTGATGAGCTCTTCTGGAGTACGCACTTCCCTTCAGCTCACAATGTTAAGGAAATATGGAAAAAGATGAGATAGCGTCTGCCTCAGTCATAACCTAGAGGGCAAGCTTAGCTCACTGCAGGAGAGAAAAGGTAGGATGAGGTATCCAAGTGAACTGCAGGTGAATCCCAGCTTGTCAGCCTGAGATGGGATGACCTAAAGGATGAATTGTTGAACTCAACAGGAATGGAAGTATAAATAAAAGGTTTGGGGTAAAGTAGGGACCAATCACTTAAACCAGGGAGTTGGAGCAAACAATGAACCTTTCCCCCACTAGTGCCCTAAATGGTATCCTGATTCTGCCCTGGGTCTGCTAACAGTAGAAACATTTAACCTATGAAATATTTAAAGTTTTTCTACCCCCATCTTTTGATTGGAATGGGTGCTAAAGGTTTTACTTGTTCTCAGGCAGCAGATGGATTCTAGCTTTCATCTTTGCACGGAAGCAGCAGTCTTGTTAGGTATAGGGTATTTGACCACTTACACCATCAGTGAAGGACACAGCATACCCCTCACCACAATGCAAGCAATCAAGAGGAACAGCTTGGTTCACGCAGCACTCTATGAAATCCGCACTGCAAGGAGTGCAAGCATGCACGTTAAAAAAATCAGTAAGAAACAAATCGATTAGTCCAACAATAGTGCACTGAATTGGATTGAATTGGCTCGGTAGCAATTCAATTGAATTAACAAAGCAGGACAGTAAAGCACAGTAAGTAAAGCACAGAGTCATTTAACAGACACGAAGACATCCTGGCTCCAGCTGAGCCGAAAGGTACGTTTTTTACCCACTTCTGTCCCCACAGCTCCCCATTGCAGCCAAAGCACTGAGGGACCCAACCCTACAGCACTGCTGAGAACTGCCTGAGGACTTGAGTGCCTTCTACTCTGAAGACAAAAAAAGCTCATCTCTCCATTGACAACAGGCAGTGTCCATGGAAATGAGGCTGCCCAGGCTAAAGTTACTGTTCTGTTTACTCCTTTGAATCCTACTGCTCTGCTTGAATCAGTTCAAGCCCTTCTGTGCCCCAGATCTGTAAACTGTTCATTAGGTTACCCCAATCAAACCCGCCCAACTGAACATTTGCAAGCCCAGACCTGCAAGGTTGAACCCAAAAGACACCATCACAACTGGGTCAGGGATGCAGAAATTACCTCCAAAGGTGTGCATGACACTTCATTAACACCCACCCCCATGGGGATGTGCTTCCCAAGTACCAAAATTATCCTTCAAAAAATAAACACGTACAATTTCCCAGAAAATTTTGTGTATGGGTTGTAAGCACAGTGGCTACAAAGAGGCTATTTGAAGGGTAGCATACAGGGCACTGCAGTAGCAGCACATTCTCTCACAGGATGGGAAACAACATAGACATGGACATAGTTGGTGCATGTCAAGAGCAGTAAGCCAGAGGAAGGCAGTGCCACCATAGCACTGGTTACCAGCAAGAAGATGATGGTGCCACATGCTGAATGCACAAGCAGAATGCCAACAGGTTATTCATGCACAACAATATGCATTATGTTAGAGCACTACAGCAGAAAGCAAGAAAAGAGACTTTATGCCACAAAAAAGGCTCGCATATACCAGCGCATAAGCAACTCAGTTACTTCTCAATATCACCTTAGCTTCCCACTGGAAGTTATCATCCAGGAAATAATGTAAATATGTTCATCTTTCTGCCACCAGCCATCTACCACCTCCTGTTCACGCATTTCTGCTTGTCTCAGATATGGCTATCAGCAAGTTTCAAAGGACAAGAAAGGTTTGATTATAAACGTAATACAGCTCTACGTTTTCCCCACTTCAAAGCCTTCCATTCTGTTTAGGCCCCAACCTTTGCTCGCAGCACAGCTGCCAAGTTCTGCAAACAAATCCACTTCTCCGTTTGAGTCAGGTAATTCTCCGTAGGTAGAAATCGTGTAAAATATACTGTGCACACAATCATAAAATCACGTATGCACCTAGATGAAAACAGTGACTTCAGCTTCAGTCCCCACGAGATGAGAACATGCTAACCCCCTTTTGTGAAAGAGGACAGTGGTGTCCAGAGAAGTCACGAGTTGCAACAACTGTACCTTGTTTTCCAAGTCCCAGTTCAAAGCCAGAACAAAATACCCTTTGCCCTTGTTTAAAAATAAATGCTGAACTTCCCAAAGATGCTCCCAGCCATCCACCCTATGGATCTAGTTCAGCATGTTACGGAAATCCCAGCAGAGGGATGCAGAGGCCCCTGTGAATGCATCAATCCTTCTCCTTATGACTTGTTAAGACAAGTTACTACTCCAAATGTCTTCTTTAGGCAGATTAGGAACCCAAAGGTGCATGTCCTCGGCCAAAATCCTGTCACTTTGATGCTCCAGAAGCCCTGACTCCAAATGCCATCATTAACTCTACAGCAGGTACCATGCTGAAAGGGGCAAGCTTTGGCGGGCTGTCAGTTCTGACCATCCATGCTTCAAGGTAAGGGCATCAAGAGAAACTGCACTATTGCCCGTAAGCTGCGAATGCCACAAGTTCCTGGAGTCTGTCCTTCAAATGAAGGGAAGGGAAAGTCTTCAAGAAGCCTGTGTGCACATACTCCTATTCACATGAGAAAGGGGCACAGCAGGGAGAGGCAACTCTCAGCTCTGGGCCAAAGTTTAACTCACACCTAATGGTTCCCTTCCACTGCTACTTCGACCTCTGCTCCTCTCTCCGGAGTAACCCTTGTACAGCACACGAGAGGCACCTCAGCACAACTAGAGACCACAGGCAGCAGCAAGGTTAGTCCTCCGCTAGCAGTGGGCGTTACATGGAAGAGAATGGCCTTTTCTCTTTTTAAGGTACAGAGGGTTTTCCAGCTTCCTCAGGAAACTCTACACTTGTACTCATTTGCCTAGGCCATGGTAGTTATCACCTTCAGCCTCAAGCAACATCTAAACAGAATTAAAAAAATACAACTATTTCCGAAGACACCAAGGAAAATGAATCATTCAACAAAATTTGATATACACAAATGCTTTACCAAGCAAAACCTAAGAGTTACTAGCCAGCAAGCCATAAACTTTTTGTTCAAATACATTATTTAATGAGGTTTAAGAAAAGAGATATTTTGAAGCTCAAATTACAATTAAGTACAATCTTCTAGATCTACAGCGGACAGTGCTACAAAGATTTACCAAACCAGGTATTCTCATATTTGCTCCTCTGCTGTTATTATTTAAGGAAAAGAAACCCCAAATCTCTTGTTAACAGCAATCTTGTCTTAACTGGGCTATTTCACCCTTCGACAGCATAAAGATAACAGCCTATTACCACAGTTCTCTCCCAAAATACAGACCAAATGTCAAGCAGGAGCAACACATTGTCATGATCACACACTAATTCAGCTTTATAAAGTGTGACAAGTAAAATGGAGCAGTTGGTTAGAGGAAATAGTGGAAAAGGGTGTTGCTCCTTTCCCACAGCAATCACAAAAATGCCCTTAGTAACTGAAGTCAAACTGCTATTGAACTCATGTTCATTCCACGCATTTGAGCAACTCCAAGTTTATGTGGGAAGCTTTAGTTCACTTTTCCACCTTCTCCTTATATTTTCCCCTCTTCTCTCTGCACCCAATGGTTTGATTTGTTTTTTTTCCTCTCTTTTCTTAGCTTACATTACCCCTTCTTCACCATTTCTATCTTGAGTTACTTGGTCCCAGTGGGACAGCGCCAGAGCACCACTCCTCTTCAGTCTTGTGGCATTGTCAATACTGTGGCAAAGGTCAAATCAATAGTGCTGAATTAGTAGTGAGAAAGAATACGAGAAACAAGTCAATTCCTCAGAGAGTTGTTTTGAATCTTTTAAAGGCCATTTTGCACGGCCTTTAAATTCTAAAAGTACATGTGAGCTTCTGCAGTTAGTGTAAAAATGTGATCGAGCTGAAGAAGTTTCCACACTTGTTGGTTTAAACTGAGCAGCACGCTGATGAACAACAGCAAGCTACTGTTTGAAAGCTGCTGCTCAGCTATCCAGACATAGAAGCAGACATCAGGTGTAAATTTCATATTTATTATAACAAAAATTATGACATGTTCATTTGTGCATTCGGCTTTAATATAACTCTTGGTATGTAAATGTTCTACAGCAAATGAGCTCTATACAATCATGCTGGTTGTGGCAGCAGTAAGGAACACAAACAAAACGTGTCTGTAAAAGTAAGGAAAGAGAGAGACCAGAGGAAAAAGTGGGTTTTTCTTTAAATGGTCTTCACCACCTCAGCTCTAGCTAACTTGTACACAGCCACTCAGTCCGTTACGTTTAATGACCATGGCCCAGAGAGTCGCTTAAGAAAAAAGGTCAGTTTTTCAGGTTGTGTCCTTAATGCCAAGGCTACAAAACATGTAAGCATCACTATACAACACTGAGCTATTTACAGGAATTCCCCAATCAACTGTTCTCTCAGAGAAAATTAGTGAATCTCAGTGACTTAAGTCACCTGAAAGAGTAAAGCAACTCCTAGGAGTTAGTCTCCATATTCTACAAATGTCTATCATTTTCAAGACCAAAAAAAGCCTTTTCTCTCAAAGAAATACAGTATTACAATATTACTTAAATCATTTAGCACTGGCTACTGCCCTGCTTTTCAAACAAAACAAACAAGCCATTTTAAAAAATATTACATCATCATCTGTTTCTCAGCAATATATTAAACCTTTTTATTATTTTTTTTAATTATTTTTTGCTTTTTGTTTTTACACGTGATATGTTAAGGGAAGGTTAACTATTTTAAACTTTACTGGTCAAGCGTCTCTAGAAGAAAGTCAATGAATATTAAACCTAACAAACTGAAAAGCTGCAGTTATCTGTAGTGGCAGGATAAGGGAAAAGGAAGTACATAAAGGAAAAGGATAAGGAAAAACCCTGCTGTAATGCGAGCCCACTGGGTCCCACACTCAAGTCTCCTTGCTCATTAGTTTATTTCTGAGCAGTGAATAGAATGGGTCATAGTGGTGTGTCGTAATAGTCTGCCAGGTGGTCCATCGGATACTGCCGCTGCTGGTTTTCCTTGTGTAGGCAGTGGTGCACAACCGCTGCTGCTGCTGCTGCTGTTGTTCCTGGTGCTGCTTCATAATCTCCTTCACTTCTTCTTCAAGCTCTGGTGGGATGATAAACTGGTCATCGGGATCGGGCTGTGCTGGAGCAGCGAAGTAGCCCCCTGTTTTTCTGAGTGGCGCGTCTGTTGCAACTTCAATTAAATTATGGCTCCCCTCC